TACAAAAAATATCAGATACTTTAAGACTTTTACTCAAGTAATATTCTTAGAGAAGACTTTAACTTTTACCAAAGTATTTTTATGATAAAGATACTTTTACTCAAGTATCACTTTGAGGTACTTTATACAGCACTGCTCTGCTGTTGTCTTTAGTCATTTCTTTGAACATGTAATTATTATATTTTTGTTTTTCTCAACCAGATCTGGAGCTGTGTTCAGTCTCTTCCTGTCCCCTGGGACCGGTCCTACACCAGGTCCTGATGGAGCTTTCCTCCTGATTACAGGCTGAACGTGCAGCTCAGGATGTGGTCACATAAAGACCAGTGTAATCTGTTACTGGGAGTAAAATCAAAGCCTCTCTGTCCTCCTGTGGTCCACCCTCTGTAAATGATCTGTTTAAAACAACAAAATGTAAAAAAGTAATTAAATAAGTTTTATTCCCACCAGAGTGAAGTTAAGTTGAATGAATTTACAGGAAATTAAAAACTTGACAAAATGTAGGTGAACATTTAAAACTCAGAAGATATTTACTGACTGTGGGATCTAGATAAATCTACACACTGAGGACAGACGTCCTCAGACTGGTCCAGGTGACGTCCACCAATCTGTCCAATCAGCTTCACTTCTCCACTTTGGACACTTTGGAGTCCTCCCTGTCCTCTTCAGCGTCCACCTCTCTCCTCCTCTTCCTCAGGCCCTTCATCTTGCGTGTTTGCAGCTTGGACAGATCCTGCTTCTGCATGTGCACCCGACCGAACGTGGTGCCAAAGGCATCATGGGAAATGTTCTTCTTCTTCTTTGGCTGCAGCGGAGGACAAATGGAGACATTTTTGTTAGAAGTAGGAAGAAGCTGTTTGATGACTGCAGCTCTCTTCCGCCCTCTTCAGGACAAACTGAATATTACAGGAGGAACATCATGAGAACACGTTTTCAACACGTCACCAACAAACTGATACATGACAGCAGAAGTTGTCTCACAGGAACAAAAGTTTGTGTGTGGCTTCTTGCTTAAATCTTAAATATTTCCTTTTTTGTTCTCTTTAGTTAATTTAAATCAGAGCTTCTTAACCTTTTTGACCTCAGKGCCCAGTTTGTTCAACATAAAGTGTCACGAGGTCCAGTCAGACATTACTAATGTATGGATCAAAATGATTATTATAAATATTGGTTTAATTTTTTATTGTATTTACATCATAACTAACATAACTAAATTAAATTCACTTACAGTTTAAAAGTAAAACTCCTGTCAAATAATCACAAGACATGATTATAACAAACATTTTTATATTGTAACCTGCCCATAACTATTATTTGAACAAATACAAAGATCAGTCAACAGACCACTCAGGCTTATCAACACAAATATATGTATTTGAATATAAACAATAACAAAAATAAACAATTCAAAAAACAAAATTGTGGGCATAAAATAAATAAATTAAAAATGTTTAATGTAAATGTTTCAAATAAAAAACCTGTAAAAATAAATTTGATAAAGTACAAATGAAAATAAAGCCTTTTTAAACTTTTGCAACCAGAAGCTGCTCTTCATATTAGTGACAAACTTTGGTGTTTTTGATGAGTTACTTTCATTTTTGTTTCTACTTTTCATTTAAAATAAGTTTCCATTCTCAGCAGGTTTCTAAGGTTCTTCTTCTACATATTAAAAAGTTGTTAAACATCTGAGTGGTGCACTACTGCTACTAGTGGTGAGAAAGTGTATTACACCTTGTTCAAAGTCAATGTGGTCCCACGGCCCTCTGTGGCCCAAAGTTAAAAACTGTTGTTCTTTTGAGGCCCTCAAGGTGGCGCTGTGGCCCACAGGTTAAGACACTCTGGTTTAAATGATTTCAGACAACAAAGTGTTGGATCTAATCCTGAAATGGACCTGCAGGTCCTTCAGGTTCTGTACCTTCAGGGCTTTGGGCTGTCTGTGAGCCAGCTTGTACAAGTCGTCTGACGCCAGGTGGCTTCTTCTCATGACCAAGTCGAAAGACGGACCGATCTCCTCCAGCTCGATCCTGGGTGTGCGGCAGCCGGACTTCTTTAACAGACACCTGTCACACATCAAACAGCACGTCAAACCTGCTGTAGGTTCCTGTTGAAGTGCTGAACCCAACAACAGKTGGAGGCTGCCTGCCTGTAGCTGCGCAGGTAGATCTTTCCCTCCAGGGCGGTGAAGTGCAGGACGTGCTCCAAACCTGCCAGACGCACTGCGGACACTGTGGGACCTCTGAACAGATCTGAGACACAACGAGAAGGTCCGGGCCGTGTCACCAGGAGACTGATTTCATGTCATTAAGAGCTGGTCTCAGGGTGCGTGGTGAACCTGTACCTATCAGCAGGCTCTTCAGACGCTTGTACTCGTTGTCTGTATCAAAGGCTTCTCCTGCAAACACCAGCATGGGCTTGGTTCCTTCAGGACACTTACTGGTCTGCAACAGAAAAACAAAACAAACTATTACTGAGGTTTAGGCTGTGGAGCTAAATCTGAGACATAAAGTTTGTTCAAAAGGATTTTTTAACAAACAAAAAATAAATAAATAAAAAAAATTATTTGAAACTGAAAAAAAAAAAACCAACTGAAAAAGCAAATTTTTTTTATTTTTTGACTATATGACACAACAGCTGCCATACTGTTAATTCCATGACATAATGACTTGACACATTTATAATTATATGACACAAAGGCCTGCTATAAACCAGTAATTACATACAGGCCTGCCATACATCTGAAATTATGATAATTATTTGTAAAATTATTATTATTATTATTATTATATAATTATTTTTTTAAATGACTGCCTGCCATACATTGTTATTTATGTGGTACAACGACCTGGCATATTTTTCAATATGACACAACAGCCTGCCATACAACACTACATAAATGATACAACAGCATACAATATTTTTAAATTATATGACGTGACAGTCTGCCATACTACAGTAATTACATAACAACCTGCCATACATTGTTAATTATGTGGTACAATGACTTGAGATATTTTTCCAATGAAACTAATGCCTGCCATACAACATTACATAAATGATACAGCATGCAATGTTTTAAATTATATGACATAACGATTATGCCTCATTTTAAAATTAAACGACATAATGGCCTGCCATACATGTTAATTATATAGTACTACAATCTGACATATTTTTCAGTTATAGGACACAACAGCCTGCCATACATCTAAAATTATGATATGACATGTCATTTTTTTTAAATGACTGCCTGCTACACATTGTCAATTATGTGGTACAACGGCCTGGCGTATTTTTCAATAATATGACACAACAGCCTGCCATACAACACTACATAAATGATACAACGGCATACAATATTTTTAAATTATATCTGACGTGACGGCCTGCCATACTGCAGTAATTACATAACAACCTGCCATACATTGTTAATTATGTGGTACAATGACTTGACATATTTTTCAATGACACAAATGCCTGCCATACAACATTACATAAATGATACAACGGCATACGTTTTAAATTTTGCGACATAACGATTATGCCTCATTTTAAATTTATACGATATAATGGCCTGCCATACTTGTTAATTATAAAGTACTACGATCTGACATTTTTCAGCTATATGACACAGCAGCCTGCCATACCCAATTGCATATATGACACAACAGCATACAATTTATAAGATACAAATTGCTAAAATTTTATTTTAATTAAATTTTTTCTTCAATTTTCCCTCTGCAGGTCAATAAAGTCTGTTTCTATTCTATTCTATTCTATTCTATTCTATTCTATTCTATTCTATTCTATTCTATTCTATTCTATTCTATTCTAATAGTTTGGCAGACTCAAACTCCTGACTGGAAGGTGGCATCTCTTCCACTATTTATTTACAATTCTCAGATTAGACTTTAATATAAACAGATTAAAAATCTCCCCAGGAGGTCAGATTGGGATGTCGAGCTGAGAGCTGCTGTTTATCATCTGCAGTTTAGATGCTCAGGAAAACAATAAACAAGCTGCTAAACAGAAGATAACAGACCAATAAAGAAATATAAAGTCATCTGTAAACACAAAGAGCAGCTGCCATCGTTACCTTAATCTCATTCAGGGAGACGAACCTCTCAATCCCAAGTTCAAYCATATCCAGAACGTGGAAGTCAAACATACGACCTGCAACAGATGATGACATCACCAACCTGCAGCCCTCCACAACCAATCAATGGATTTATTTACACTYGTGTGTTAACATTTTGTCACCTAATAACACAAACTGTGTGATGTTGAGTAAAGAATACTTTGTGATGCTAAAACTGTTTCGTATTTTTACAGCTAATCTGGTCAGAATGAGCTTACCTAAGATGAGATTGTTGGGTCGTTTCTTGTTGTGCGAGCCGAACAGAAAGAGAGAGCAGTCGGACTTTTTGGAGAAAAACTCCTGAAAAATTGAACGTGTGTGTGTCAATAACAACAACAACAACAACAACAACAACAACAACAACAACAACACAGTGAGTCAGAGAGACGAGGAGATGCACCCACCAGTGATGTGGAGTCTTCAAAAGGTCGAGTTATATTCTTCCTGACAAACACAAACATTAACTTCAGTCTGATGAATGACACGGACACTGAACATCCTGCAGTATTTTACAGTTTAAAYATATGTTTATCAAATAAAGTCTAATGTTACAACTAATCAGGGATTACTAAGATCTTGCTGCATGAACCAGGCATGAAGCAGCAGCACATGAAGCTCCTGGAGAGGTTGAAGCAGACTCCAGATCTGCTCCTGAAGACAGTTTGTGGAGGAAACTGAAGCTCTGAGCTGCCGTGAGTCAAACCAGGTAAGAACTGCAACAAACACTTCCTGCTGCAGACGATCAAACACTGAGTGACTCCATGTTCAGAACTTTACCTCCCTTTCTTAGCTTTAGTTGCTATTCTGTCCCTACAATAGAATACGACTCARTAAAAAGTTACATTTATTCATTTCTTTGAGCACATTTACAAAATTTACAAAAAACCAGCAGAGTTTTTATCAGWGGGTTTCTGGATGACTTACTTCTTGTACAGCACAGCATCAGGTTTCTTCAGAGAATACTGAAAGAACAACAATKTCTTCATGAGGTTATCTGATGACAAATCTTTCATCATTTAACTGACATCAGTGTTGAGCCTGAAGTCTGTTAAAGACCTGAGAGAAACCTCCAGATCTGCTCCAATCAGTGGCTAAGAAAATATCGATACAGCGAAATATCGCGATATTTCATTTCCCGATACTGTATCGATATTCTAAAGCCCTGTATTGATTTTTTATTAAGGTTTAAAATG